CACGTCGTTCTTAAAAAATATGAATTTCAAAAATTTCAATTTACCGAAACGATTAAACCTCTGGTCCTGACCAGATGCAGAATCATTAACTCAGTTCCTTGTAGATTAGGACGTGTCTGCATAAATAACGATAGTTTTTAAACTCTTTGGTTGCTTAATTTGTGACCGTCAGTTGCAATTTCCCGAGTTTTAAAAACATACTACTCTTACTATACATACGTTCTTGCTCTGAGTAATGACAAGCTTAGTTTCTGACGTGATGGCATCAATCATGTTTCGTGAAGCAAGTATTAACGCCTTGCTCTGTTCTCTTTCAATGATTCCTTGGAAAATTAATCTCCCCTCATCGTACTTCTGTAGGTATTCAGCTAGGATGGTGAGATCATTGGGAATGCTGAGGGTTGGCCTAACACGCCTAAGTTTAGCTTCAATTGCCCTCTTTGTTTTAATGTGTGCGAATCTGTAAATAACATTATGTATTTGTTAATTATATCTTAAAAACTGTGTTGTTATCGGAAAAAATAGATAAGAAAAGAATCGATAATATTCCATGTATATAAAATGCTAGTAAATCATGATGGAATTGAATGTAACTTTTTTTTTAGTTTGACCATTATAGAGGCTAATTCGATATTAAAAATTCACAAGTGTTATGAAAACAAAAATAATAGAGGAAGTTCGAATCTCATTGATGAGGTTTTCCCTGTGGTGTTTTAATTGACTATTTTTATATATTTTCCAAAGGAACGAACAAGGACTATATATAGCTAAAGAAGGAATTAATATATTGTTCATAATATTTTAAAAAATTTGTAGAGTGTCATTAATCAAATAAGGGCTGATAATGACAATTACCTCCGGCTCAGAGAATTAGTGATGTTTCGAAGCTTCCCTCCCTCAAGCACAGCCCGGTCCACTTCACCCAGACAAATCTCATTCTCCTTGGCATCGTAATCTTCTTTACATTTGTGTATCTTGCCATTCTCCACAACTGTTCCATCTGGGTGTTCCCATATTCGAACTGGACATTTACTCTTTTTCCGATATGCACAGCGATACTCCTTCACCTCTGCATCGTGTGGTGAATTACGGTGGAAACGGAAATTGTTATATAAATATGCCCACGTATCCTTCCTTGCACCTCGCACTCTTGTAATCCGTTCTGACTGAAACTCATGAATTTAGGAGACAATGCTTCTTCTTTGTTGTACGAATTTGAAGACGATGCGCGCATATGGAATTGTAGTCGGTTACCGCACGGAAAAATTTTGAGGGAGCACATGATGTAATCCGATAATACAAACAATTGTGTTGATGTA